GATCGACCTCCCGTCTGATTAAAATGATTAATATCCCCGCCTGACTGATACCTTTGATCTTCCGTTCTGCTAGAACCACTGATCTCTCACCCAATTGAAAACATTGGTCTGCCCGTCTGATTAAAACGTTTGATCTTGACATATAATAAGAACGATTGATTTTCCCGCCTGTCTAAAATGAATTTTATCTTAAGATCAGACAAAAACTAATTTAATCTTCAGGTCTGGCGAAAACGGCTTTTATATTCCCGTCTGACTACACTGATTGATCTTCCCGTCTGACTGCACTGATTGATCTTCTTGTCTGACTACACTGATTGATCTTCCCGTCTGACTGCACTGATTGATCTTCCGGTCTGACTACACTGATTGATCTTCCCGTCTGATTGCACTGATTGATCTTCCCGTCTGACTACACTGATTGATCTTCCCGTCTGACTACACTTATTGATCTTCCCGTCTGACTGCACTGATTGATCTTCTTGTCTGACTACACTGACTGATCTTCCCGTCTGACTACACTGATTGATCTTCCCGTCTGACTACACTAATTGATCTTCCCGTCTGACTGCACTTATTCATCTTCTTGTCTGACTGCAAAGATTCATCTTCCCGTCTTTCTTAAACCGATGAACTTCCCCTTTGACTAAAACGATTGATAGTCCCGTCTGACTAAAACGATTGATCTTCCCATTTGCAATACAGATTGATCTTCCCGTCTGACAGCAATGATTAATCTTCCAATTTGACTAAAATATTGATCTTCCTGTCTTTCCTGAACTACTTTCCTGAAGTGATATGATCTCGTATTTTCCCGTTCGGTTGTTATTGAGTCACTTTGGTCCCGTCTGCTATTTATGACGTATTGATGACTAGTAAATATTTTATGAATCCCTGACGGTAAGCTCAACTATACTTTATAAAGGAATCAACTGATAGAGTTATCGCAAAGAAGTATTGCACCCAAGAAGACTGTGCCGTTACCTAGGAAATGAATTCACCCTTAGATAAAAATGAAATGATTTGATACCGTTGTCTTTGTTCTTTGGTGGACAAATACGAATAAGATAGGGACAGCTGAATACTGCGAGGGACTAGTAGTAAACATGACGTTACCATTACACAGCGACGACTTCCTGAAGGAAATACAACCGTGTGGATAGTTACAGTGTATGAGAGAATGTTACCTGGCCTCCAAGTGTGTCAGTATATTTGATAGAAAGCAAAAGCTTTTCTGCGTCCTCACCACCTCATCCACTTCATCTAAAAAGTTGTAGATTACGGGAGGTGAGTGTGTAATGTTTTATGGAACATAAATCAGTGAGTTACTTGAAAATATATAATATAAATATGTAACGGATCACCTTAAAACTATCATATATATGTACGTGGGAACAAAAAGAATTGTATTTTATGTTTGCATATTTCTTTCAAATTGTGATAATTAAAACGTAAGTTCCTGAGTATAACAGTTATTGAACGATGCAAATTTCGTGTATTGAATATAAAACTGTTAAGTAAAGTCTACAATTTATATTATATACAAGTATATAAAAAAAATCAAAAAGTCACTCGTGATCGGTACAATGAAAATTGATTAACAAGTTAGAAGACAAAGTTGCCAGCCCCCTCTCCCATTTCTATTACTATAATTATTATTTTCAGATATTATTCCGAAATTAATCAAATATATAAAATGTATTTCTATTTTCAAAAATCACGAAGACGTATTGTTTTTTACCATTCTCTCTTGGGTAGATCGTTGGACCTGCAGAGTATCTTGACCCTCCAATACGCATACACTAATATTTATTTTACTGATATCTAAGTATAGGCCGAAGCGCTTGAAACTGTGTCTTCTTCTTTTCTCAGTTATTAATTTATATTATTACCACAGTGTCCATGCAAAAACCAGAGTTTTGATTTGACCGGAGCCATTGTTAGGTGCATGTCACCAGACGGTTTGCAAAATTACTGAAACGTGCGTGCGATTATCAAGTGGAATAGGTGTTTGCATCGATACAGGTATTAGCATAACTCACTTCGCTTTATATATTACTGTATTGAAAAATTGGAATTTGTTATTGTGCCAAATATTAATAAGTATACTCTGACTGGGTGGAATGCTGTGCTTGGTGTCGACATCAGATCAGAGCCATCGCAAGAGGGAAAATACAACATCGAATCACATTTAACACGCATACCTAAATCGCAAAGTCATTAAATTTATATTTGTCATCTTCCCTTCTACATTTGTTTGTATCAACTTTCCCTGCTTCATTTGTTTGTATCATTTTTTTCTGCTACTTTTGTTTGTATCATCTTTTCCTGCTACTTTTGTTTGTATCATCTTTTCCTGCTACTTTTGTTTGTACCAGCTTTCCCTGCTACGTTTGTTTATATTATCTTTCCCTGCTACATTTGTCTGCATCAACTTTCCCTGCTACATTTGTTTGTATCATCTTTTCCTGCTACTTTTGTTTGTACCAACTTTCCCTGCTACGTTTGTCAATACTATCTTTCCCTGCTACATTTGTCTGCATCAACTTTCCCTGCTACATTTGTTTGTTTAATCGTTCCCTCCTACATTAGTTTGTTTCATCTTCCCCTTCTACGATGCACATCAGTCGTTAGATATTTCTACTTAATTTTTCCCGAGTATAATGAACGTGAGTGTGTAAATTTGTGTAAATTATATTTGTACTGTATTTGCATGTTACAGTGTACAAGGCCCGTCTGTTAGTATATTTGTCTATGCATGTTTTGTATTTCTCTGTTACAGTGTACAAGGTACGTCTGTTAGTATATTTATCTATGTATGTGTTGTATTTCTCTGTTACAGTGTACAAGGTACATCTGTTAGTATATTTGTCTATGCATGTGTTGTATTTCTTTGTTACAGTGTACAAGGCCCGTCTGTTAGTATTTCTGTCTATGCATGTGTTGCATTTCTCTGTTACAGTGTAGGGTACGTCTGTTAGTATATCTGTCTATGCATGTTTTGTATTTCTCTGTTACAGTGTACAAGGTACGTCTGTTAGTATATTTGTCTATGCATGTGTTGCATTTCTCTGTTACAGTGTACAGGGTACGTCTGTTAGTATATCTGTCTATGCATGTGTTGTATTTCTTTGTTACAGTGTACAAGGTACGTCTGTTAGTATATCTGTCTATGCATGTGTTGTATTTCTCTGTTACAGTGTACAAGGTACGTCTGTTAGTATAT